TAAGGAAGAAATTTCCATATGATTAATGATTATCTTGTGATTGGCCATCAATAAAATTATTTCGTTAGAATCTACATAGCTGTGAGTAATATCAAATTTTAGTAGTCTACAAAGGATAAAGTGATGTCACAGGAATATTTTGTTTAAAAAGCCCCTTTCCTTAATTTTTTCGGCGATTACAATGACCTTGTTAGCAAATATAAGCTATCAGTTGGTCAACAGGGGGTGTTTACTCCTCCTTGGCAACTGACCCCATCTCTGGAATTTCTAGATGTCCGAGTTTATTGCTCTGTTTACAGATTTATATTGTTTGTGGGGGTTTTTTTGTGTTCGTTTATCATTACCTTTTTTTTCATTATGACAAATTTCTTTAAACAAAAGAGAGATTTGGTTTTGTTATTCCCCTTTTAAGGAAGCAGTTAATTGAGCAGGCATGTAGCATATTTTAAAATCAATTTACCCGAAAAATAATTGATATGCTAAAAAAAAATATGGAGGGGGTATGAAAGTTCGGACTTTTTGAAATTTCTTTCGAAATTGAAGGATTTGACTATACTATACAAAATCTATGGGGGTGTCTTTACGCACTAAATTGATAGTTAAAGATTATCTTCGTGAAAAAGTAGCTCCCCCTGAGTTACAGAGTAATTGTGAAAATATATTATAACCTACAAATTGAGTTCAAGTACAATTAAAAGGGTCAAATCTAATGTCTAATTCCTCTACTACCCCCCCCCCTCCCCAGACCCAAAGCACAAATTTATACTAAATGTTATGATTATCTTTGATTTGTCAAGTATGACCGGAAAGAAATGCGTAAAGTTGACCGTTTGCTTGGCATTCCTGCTTCGTGAGTGAAAAATGTTTGAACTAATCACTATCCAATGACAAATTGTCAAACAGAGAGGTACTTAGCGTCTTCTTGGATGGGCGTCCTAATCTTTCTCTATCAAGAATATTGTCAACAATTGGGACGATTATTCGTAGAGCTATAATCCACTGGTTCAATGACATCGAGATAAACTAAGTAGAGAAATTAAGGATAAAAAAAACAAAATAAAATACGGACAGTAATATTATTTTAATATGGGTTAATTTTCCAAAACTATAAACTTAATTAACACAATTCAAATTGTGATCAAAGTGCAAAATATATAATTCTGGGCTGAACACGTCAAACAATTTTGAAAGAATGCCGCCTTTTTAATTACAAAATTCACTGAATCCAGCAATAGTTGAAAATGTTTTGCTTGTATTACATATACTTAATTCATGTTTTACACGTGTTGTTCATCAAAACTGTAATTTGAATTCCCTTTTTTTCCTGATAAAAGTCTATTTGATGAGATTACAAAAGATGCTGGAGTTTCTGATTGACATAATATATGTGATTTTTGGAGACCAGGTCTTCCAGACAAGAATCTATTGGGATTCCCATGGGTGCCAATTGCACCCCGTTATAGATAGTTCTCAACTGGCCAGAATTTAGCAAGAGTTACTTCCCGTTGGCCGCCAATTGGAGGTCGACTCTGTGATTTTTCCTCTTTGTCTTACCAAGTTTAAGAGGATGTAGCAGAAATATTTGATGGAAAATTTTTATTAACTATTTATTTAAATAAAGGAGGCTTCCAAAAATTTATATACTTCAGAAAAATAATGATTCCTAATTCAAAATAGCGAATAAGAAAAAATTAAAATTGGTTGAACAATGAAGGAATATGAGCATTTGGACCCACAATATGGCGGCCAGCGGGAAATAACTCTCGCTAAATTCTGGCTAGTCGAAAACTATCTATTAGCAGATCTATTTTTGTATTTATATGGGGCAGAATTTGTCCAAAATCTAATACGTGAAAAGAAGAAAACACTTGCTGAGGCCTTAAACTCTATAAATTGATAGATATATCGACTACGACTTGTCAATTAAGAATCGTTATAATTTCCATTTATTTGTCGATACGATATGTCCCCGTGAGCTTGAAATAAAAGATAACAAAGAGTCTGACACACCTATTTCATATTTGGATATTTTCTTGAAAAAGACGTTAATGTTAATCTAACAACCAAACTTTATGATAAACGTGATGATTTTAACTTTTCAATCTGCCTGCGGGGTTAAAATATCTCAGCTGATTCGATACACAAGAAACACACGTACAATTAAATATCAATATTGTACAGGATGACAATAATGTAATTTTGCTTCAATTATAGCTTTTAAACGCAAATATAAACAACAGAAGTTCATAAATGTTCTTTTTCTCTGTTCTTGAAATAGTTTTAAATTACAAGTTGCAGCTTACATTGCTTTAATGGACTTTTGAGTTTAAATATTAATTGTTATCTCTTTATATATATTTTATTAAAAAAGTAGGATCACCTTCAGAAAATGATTTCCATGATATTTTCTGCAGTTTCTACTGAAGTAAAGTGGTAGATCTGTGTTGTTTCTCCTAATAGGCTGTCCTGTTATCATTCCGACATTAGTGCATAACAATACTCTATTGTGACGTATACAATATGTGACGTCATAATGCAAAAATCGTAATTCTTGTATTTTGCAGTGGGTATCGATGGTCGTAAAACAGCTCAAAAATTTATTAATTCAGACCATAATAGGGCTTTGTTTACAAAAAAACAGCTTTGGCTCACTTAACTGTCCGCCTTAAGGAAAGTCCTTAGTTTTATGTATTCAGTTTTAATTTCAAATTCCCACTTCTTCCATCGTCTTAAGCCACGGTCCGGAGTCCGCATAAAGCTCTCTCCTACCAGAATGGGACAGGATCGTACATTTTGGCCGTGGTTTGCGACGATGCACTTCTTCAGACTCAATCAAGTTATATATTTGAAAAAACATCAATTTTTAGTTTCAAAATAAGTTTCTTTTAAATACTGATTTGAACTCAGTTGACTTTTTACATTTTCTTTTAATACTCGTTACAATTTTAGAATACTATATTTCTAAAAAGCCCCTTTCATCTCTGGTTTTATATATACTAGAATATAATTCAAACCCGTCGTCAAACAGGGACAGATTCTCGATGGATCGGACGAATATCAGTTGCTTGGAGTAATGAACCCATTCCAGTTAATATCAGCCACAGTGATGTATGGACAGTTACGTCGTGTCAGTAGGTTCCTCAATACTCCTATCTCTATAATGTAACACGGCATCTGATTGTAAAAGTACACCCGAAAAATTCAGTTATCTTTTGTCAAACAGTTTCAAAGAAGTAAGTGTGGTATATTGCAAATATTTGCCCCCTTTCATATTTCAACAATATTTATAATAGAAGATGAACATGAGTCTACCTTTTCAATTATAACTTTATTTTATTGTTCTGATGCCCCCGTTGCCTAGCAACCACCCACGAAAAAGCAATGTTGAAAGCTCTTGGATTTAATATTTAACTGTTTTGGGAAATAATAACCAACAACAATATTTTCATTTTAGCTTTATAATGATCATATGTACTGAAAATTCCTAAACATTGCATTAACAAATTTATTTTGATGGGAAAACACCATAGCAACCACTCAAACATATCTTAGCAACCAGTTTATTTACTATAGCAACCAATATGAGTATGAAGTGAAGAAGTCAATACATGTCATTTATTCATTAGCATTAAAGTTAATTGAAGTACTATTTATATCTAAGCTTCTATTTCACTGGTAATGCAAAACAAAATATTTCCTAGCAACGCTTAATAATTCCATGGCAACCACTTACTATTTCAGACATTAAAATATTTTAAAGAGCCACATTTTATACATAAAAAATATTGCACTTTTACATACAGTGCATCCCTATGGCACACATCAACAAAGATTCAATCCAAACTTTGTATATCAGAAAAGCTTCCTCAAAAAATATTTTCAGGTTTTAGGATGTTATGGATGTATGGTTACCTTGGCAACAAGTCTCAAATTTGGAAAAAAAATAATATTTGATCATTTTGAAATCTTATCGCACATTTTTATGGTCTAACAGGGAACAATGGTCTTTGCTGAAACACAAGTTTAAGGCTTCATATTTCATATTTATGGAAAAGTCAATAGGGTATAATCCTATTTTCTGGTGTTGCCATGGAAACAAAACAAAAAAACAAAAATTAGCAATTTTACAATCTGACTTTTTTAAATCTTCAGATTAATAGTACATACATTACAGTTGCTATGGAAATGGAATCAAAAATGAAGATAAGCAATTGTTTTGTGGCTAGCATTTACACTGAATCATGCCATTGCCTAAAATCATTTCTAGGTTTAAAAGGTTATGACTAATAAAGAACAGTTTCAAAAAATGAGGAAGAGGTAATTAAAACATATACATGCATACAGGTAGCCTTACTTTGAAAATAAGATGAGTAGAATGTAAGAGATAGTTCATATTTTGCAATGCATATATGATCATGTAAAATATTCCATTGTCTTCAACAGTGTAGACATGTCACTCCTACACACACACACACACACACACACACACACACACACACATATATATATATATATATACATTAACAATTACATATAATCATATCTCAAACAGACCTGTATGAAGGGTTTAACATGTTTAAGGTTAAAGCTTATTTACTATCAATATCAGATTATTTGACAGTTAGAGACTGATTTGTCTCCCACCGATAAAAATCATCATATTTTACATGAAAATATCATTTTATGTATTATTGTGTATATCATTACAGACATTATACTAGTATCTTAATAATTTTATTTCAGCATAACTGATTCTTAACATATGTTTCCCTCTAAATTGTTTATCATTGTTACCCCATGTTTCCACCTTGAACATACCAGCAAAGGCAAATTCATATAAATTAAATGTAAAAAAAACCATCAAAGATATAACTATCCAATCAAATCTACACTGATTGCTGAAGCAAACATAAAATGTAATACCTATATCATTTGAGATGAATTTCCTTTGAAAGATCTATTTAATCCTTAAGGTACTCCGATCCTTAGATTCTGAAAATCAGGCATTGACTAATTGAACAAACTTACAAAAATGTGTCTGAATTCTTAAAGTAACATATTTTTACCCACAATAATTCTTCAAACTGCATCTTAAAGTTAATCATATTATATAAAAAAAATTAATAAATCTGAATTAAATGTTCTAGAAATGCGAATAAAAAAACTACAATACATTTTCTATTCAAAATTGATCATCAACAAACACATTTTAGAAATGAAAATCATAGGCATCCAGGCTTTTGAATAAATATCACAATGTTTATACATTTAAGGCAGCTGTAGTTTCTGTGGTAAGATTAAAATGAACCTCAATTTCTTTACAAACATGTATGTAATTTTAAAGTACTTTCATGGCGTAAAATTTTTTCCCTTCATAAGCATCATTTTGAGATTTTTTAATATAAATTAGGAATTTAAGAGTTATCTGTCCTGGCTGAGATTGGAGTACCTTAATTCCTGAAATTCACTCCTCCACAATGTCACTATCTGAATCTTCTTGGTATGCCGCATTCAGAAAGTGACATTTAGGTCCAGGTCCAGATGACAGTGGTTCTTCACTCTGATGCCTTTTCCATCCAAGGAACCACAGTACACTGGACACATGGGCACAGCAACCAACAAGTCTTGCTCCAATTTTGCATGTACAGTACCAACCACAAATGGCCTCTACACTCTCCTCTCTACCTCTATATTTTATCCAAAGTGTGTGAAGAACATTTCTAGAATGGCGAGACTGAATCTTAACTCTCAAAAGATTTGGAAAATCATGGCATACCATAACTTCATAGCTGCCTTCATCTTTTAAATGTTCTCGTGTGTAATTCTCTGCATGTTTGACTTGATAAATACCTAATGTCAGGGAGCGTAGGTCATCGAGTGAAAGGACAGGGAAATCAGCAAGTTCAGAGGATGCATCGATAGCTGAATATACAGCACAGCGAGTCAACAGCTTATTTTCTTGAACAAGAACCTGGACTTCATTGGATTCCTGTGACCTTTCTAGCATTTTGATGGCAACACTTTCAGTCTCAGGGTCCATGCTACCAAGACAAGGCCTGAAACAGTTACATAGTGCACATACGATTCTAACAAAATCCCCAACCTGTGGAAGTAGCTTGTTAGGAATAACTTTGTCCAGTAGTCTCCACTGTTTAAGTCTGCCATTAGCACTCTCAACTACCCATCTTACTTTAGTGACCATTCTTGAGAGGTTGGCTTCCGTAGTTGTATGTTGCTTTTCTCCCCTTTGCAGATAGAATGGCATGTGGACTTTCAATCCAATATCTTCCATAAAGGTCACTGCATCCCTGAACCCTCTGTCAACTACGACCACATCATCTTCTTTCAACCATACTGGAGCAAAAAAAAATATCAATGTTATTACTTTTATTATATCTTGACTTCCACGAACTTGGGTCTATTGAAAAGACATACTTGTATTTCAAATCTGTAACAGTAAACATACCTTGAATGTTTTCTGCATTTTGAGAATACATATGCTTTGTTATGCTGGCATCATTGTTGTGACAATCTGCCACATATGGTCCCATAACACTTAAAATGTACCCATCAGAGGCCACAACCATCATAGGTTTCACTAAAGGACGGTTTTTATGGAGACTGTATGAAAGGCGCTGAAATTCGTAGTCATAGCTCTTTTGGATGTATATATATGTACCATCCAAGATGATAACAGCTTGATCTTCCTCAGTGGTGAAAAGCTTTCGGGCAATTGGAGTTGTATGATGCTGAGAGAATTCCTGATGACTTATATGTTGGAATCCAAGATGTTTTGGCACAAAATTCTGCATGAGAGCCTCTCTTACTGATGGAATTATTCTTTGAATCTGATATACAGAAAGCTTGAAGATTGTGGAAAGTATTGTGTTGGGAAGGCCAGTGCGGAGTTTTGTCAGGAATACAGCAAGACAAGTTCTCTTGGTACGGCTGGAATTGTTCCTTATATTCTTTAATTCATGAACAAGTTCTGCAAATTGCTCTTTTCTCAAGCCAGTGAGACACAAATAGTCTTCTTCACTCAGAAGAGATGGTACATCAAAGTTGAGGTAAGTTGCAGATTTGATGGTACTTCTAAGGCTAGATAAAAGCTTGCATATGTCAGTTCTTGATAGTTGTTCTTCATCTTTTGTTGTCGTTAGTCCTGAGAGTGCATCTTTATTTAGGTAGCCATCTTCAACATGCATCTTGCAACATCTGCTGTCATCATTGATGAAGATTCCCGTTTCAACAAAAGCTTGTACAATGGAGGACGCTGGGATATTTATAAGGCGGTTTCTGTTAGAGTATGGCTTTCTGCAAATGACACATTTTCTGTGACCTTTTGGCGTTGATGTTATGGGAAGGCATATTGATTTTGGACTTTTTAATAAAGGATTTGAATCTGAGTTACACGTGGGCAGAGGTGGGAAGTATTCTGGATCACTGCATGTTAGAGTACATGTATTTGAGGCACCAACAACTGTTCGTTTGCGAGAAAAG